TTAGTTTTTCATAAAATTGGATAAGAAAAATATCTAAATATTATGAATACACAAGCAAAAGCTTTATTATTATTTTAAATGAGATATTACGATTTTGTTTTGTGATATTGAATTAAAGACCTTAAGTGCATCAAAAGGAATTGGCTTAAATACAGAGGTAACAAGCAATTAGTCCAATCACGCAGTTTAACAGCGGAATCTAGTTGGACTATTTTTTCCGGATAGGTRTTTTTGAATTCATAAATATATATTGGCGTTCTTTCAATGACAACAAAGAAACACTAGGGGCTTTTGGTGTTATTCTCATTTCCTTGTTAACAATGATAATGAYTAACACTATTTTCATCAAATTAGAACCAAATGACATTAAAAATACTATAATATTCGCAACATGCTACAAAATATCCATCTTAATTGAGATTAATTTTTATTTTTGCCCATTTCAAAACATTCGCTCAATGTTGACTCATCTGTCAAAATGAAGAGAGCGCGCGGTAAAGTTTGATTTTCGATATGCAAATTGATGGTGTTCTTTTGTCAGTTGTTCCATTCATTGTTGACGTGGCCAGCTGATCGTTACTCACATCCGAATAGACTTWAAAAAAACGCTAAAAACCCGCAGAAGGACTCCGCAAAGACTAGTTTCTGGACAACGTRAGTAAAGGAACTCGAAAATGGGCTACGGTCTTCATAAATTCGCGGGAAAAGTCGACCCGAATTTAATATGCAGCATATGCGTTGGGGTATTGGAAAAACCAGTGACGACCATTTGCGGACATTCATTTTGCGAGCAGTGTTTAGACACATGGRTAGAAAGGCCACAAACTAACACATGTCCAAGTTGCCGTGCACATGTACTGCGAGTTGATTTAATTCCTATCCATGCGCTGAGGGGTGTAGTGGACGGTCTTCTCGTCCGATGTGAGAACAGCGCGAACGGCTGTGAAATGATTTTAAAACTTGAAAAACTGGAAGTTCATCTGGAGTCGTGCCCTTACAGTATTATAGAGTGTAAAGCATGCCATAAAGAAGTGAAAAGACTCGATGTGATTGATCACCAAAACAATTGCGAGGTTCTCCAAGCTTTAGCAGCTAAAGCAAGAGGAGAAATGAKAAACGATAGCTCCACTGACACCCTCTACACACAAATCGCCGAACTCAAAATCGACTTGGAAAACACAAAGGCGAAGTTGATCGAGTCTGAAAACGAAGTTTCCAGAGTTGGACGTCAATTAAAGAGGATGAAACTTCGAATGCAAGTTGAGGAAGAGGAAGAGCAGTTCGATCCCMACTGGGACCCAGAATACTCCTATGGGTACTCCCCCTCGAGTATATCTCATCTTAGTAACGTAATTTCCAAATACCTGCTCAACAAGCCATATTACGTCGATCGTAACCGCATTTTTAACGCTATCAAACGTTGCCATGATTATTACCATAGTTATGCCAGCTACACACAAGACGTACACATGCTGCTTGCAACGGCTTTTGCTAGTAACTGGTTCACGGAAAACCAGCGCAGTAACTTCAACTGTTGGTTAACAAACCTGGCAAGGCAGAGATTTATTCGCTAAAATAAAGCGAACACTTCAAATAGTAATAATAATAAAAAAATAAAGAAAAAAGAAAAGAAATGYTCAATATAAGTGAAAATAAGAATTTCATTACGACGATTAGTTATGTACATTCATGTCGCTTGTCACATTAGCTTGTTTGATGTAACGTCATACTATAGAACATTCAAAAACAATACGGTACTTTCGATTTGTCTATACATTGTAATATAATTGCTTACTTTCGTCATTTCTACAAAATAGAGCGGATTTCGTATGAGTGGGAAACGGACGGTACTGTACTGTGACCGTAATCGTACTGTAACCAAATTCTAGTGCCCCATTGATTCACCAAAATTCTGCAGGCCAGGTGCGGTAACTGTGCGGTAACGGTGTCCCACTCATACGAAATCCGCTCTATTCGTTATAATACAACTATTTACAGATTGTGACATGCAGGTTGTTCAATAAACGTTGTTCCAATAAAAGTAAAACATACTAAAAGAATCCCGTGTATATTACTGCACTTGTCTGTTGCTGTTGTTGTTTTATCATTTGTTTRTATGAAAATACGAATTTCATCATACAGGTTGTTCAAACTCTTTCAAAAATAAGAGATATTCAAACTTCAAAAATAAAATWAAATGGAAAATTTGACATTAGTGAAGACATTAGAAGAAATTTCGGTAAGTGTCGTTTTAAAGTGCAGCCAAARGCTMGCTAAAACAGCAATAAAATGAAGCATTCACATACCAAATATGTAATTAATTTACATTCGGTTCTTTGTCACTTATCTTCGTCCCTTTTTAAGGGTTTTTTTCTGTTGTAAAATCTCTTTAAGTCTATCATAACGTCCTGTCGATACTTGAATATTTCCATATATGGGATCCAGCCACATTATCCTGTCTTCAAAACTAATTTTTTGTAAAACTGTACAGCTAGTGTAGAACCTTGTTAGTAGATCCATGGGTAGCTTAACACTTGGTAAGGGGGGTGGGGACAAAGTCTTTGGCTTGAAATTTGCTGGGGTCAGAGGTACTTCCAGCCACCAGCCTTGATTTACTTTGGCTTCTTCTTCTTCCTCATTTTCTTGCTCTTCTTTGGTTTCTGAGGCTAAACCATCTTCTTCATCCGATATTATCTCGCCTTCTTCTGGACTTTTCGATGCGTTAGCTCTTTCCAGAAGGTTCAAGCTTAGTTTGTCTTCATTTTTCTTTTGCGTTAGCTCACACTGAGTTGGTGATGTATTCTTGTTGATCTTGGAAGACTTTGAATTAGGAGTATAAGGTTTAGTAGATGAAGTCTGGTGGATTTTCTCAAGAAGTTGCTTCTCCTTTGAGCCGTACTGTATGTTTGGGCGTGTGGGTGAATAGCCACCTTCATCAGTTGTTGAATCAGATTCATTGTGCTTTCTTRTTTTTCGACCTGTTWCTMTTGCATCATTAGGTAGTATCCCTCCAGATGCCCCTTGATCTGAAGATAAAAAAGAAACTTTTTATAATCTTTAAAATCACCATAATTCAATAATCAATAATTATTGTTTTATTTATTTGTTATGTTAATATGCCAAGATATGTTTAGAAAGTTTGATTGAGCATAAGGATGCAGGGGSGYWTCKYGYWTTTT